TGTTTGAAGTGCCGGGGTCGTGGCAGTGGAGCGTCGCCACGGAGTTCTCAATATAAAGGTATTTCTCCGTAAGGCTGTAAAAGCGGGTCAGAGAAACATCGTCCTCTGATTGTAGCTCCTTCCAAAGATCTGTCTGCAGACGAACTCCAGCGATGATGAGAGTCCGAATGGACTCTTCGGGAGTGTAAGCTACTTTATGGAGCTCCTTGTGGAACCTATCAATGTAAGATTTGAGGGATTCATCTTTCTCTTGCCTTATGTTGCTAAGGTAGCTCAAAGGCATTGAGAACTTCTTGTTCGCGTAGAAGTGTCTTAAGAATGTTGAGCTCATCTGGTTTCACGAGCTGATTGATCCCGTCAAGACCGACCTGAACCACCGCTTGGCATGAGATGTAAGAGTCACTGCCAAGCATCGACATTTTGCCAAGTCAGAAACTTGGTAAAGTTCTATCAAGTCGTTGAATTCGTACAAATGATCATACGGGTCAGAATTCTCATTGAACGCTCGCATATCAGACATTCTGAATCTAGATGGGAGAGGGCGGCTAACACAGCTAGAGAAAAGGGAGACGCCTCTACGACCTGCCCTTGCTCATTTTGCTGAGCTTTTAGCTGATCTAGAGCTCGCTATAGCTCCTCATTCTGAGGCAGTGGAGCCATCTGGGGATTGCTTTCCCCCATGCGAGTTCGACCCTCGCGATTGCAGTTGAGGAAAGTCCGGAGGTCGGATTCCACCTCGTCTCTACTGGCAATTCCAGCCAATCTTGACACACACTGGCTAGAGTCGTGTGATGGCGATGAATGGTGCGGGGAATCTTCACACCTCCACGGTGGTAAGAACCGCCCCGCTGAGTGTGGGAACTTCCCGCATGACGACGATCGGAATCGTCATTCTAGCAATGATGGAATTGCCCTGCCTCGCACTTTTGTGGGAGTGCTCACGCGATGTGGCATGGGACAACTCGGGCTGCGACCTATCACTGAGTCTTTGCGCCACGGGTATTTTACCCGGGGTACGGTCGGTGTTCGCTGGTCCCTCGGACCTCTAGGCACATTGTTTGCGACCTACTTTCCCTTCCTTTGACGCGCTGCAGTGCACGCGACATGAGCTATCTCCCTTTTCCACACTTTCATGCGACTTGCAGGCGTTTTTGGCAGTGGCATCGCCTTATTTGATTCGGGTGGTGCAATCCGATCCAAAAGGTCCAACCTTTGGTTGACCGTTTGGAGAGTATTGTTGAACCTCTCCAGGTTACTCATGACGGCTGGATCAAGCCGTGAGCTTGAAGGAATATCCCTCACAAGATTTTTCGGAACTTCCAAAGTGCCCTCTTGCACCTAGGAGACTTCTTCCTCACCATGATTGGGTAGCTCAGATTCAAATCTACGAGTCATTTGTTGCTGTAGGACCAGTTAGTTAGAGATTCTCCCGATGAAGGACGACTACTAAATCAGACCCTCCTTCAAGTGCCAAACTATTGATGCTTGATTTTGACACCAACTAAACGCACCCGTGAAATATTGAGTTGACTCAGAAGACACACGCGAATGGGGGTATGAGAATGGATAAGAGATGGAGACCAATGTTTAAAGTGGTTTGGATGCTTAAACAAACGACTCTTACGTCCATCGATATTGTATTAATATACTGAGGTCAGGTCGCATTCAGCGAGCTGATTTACAAGTTACAAAGAGAGAAAGTGTGTATGCTATTTTAGAGAGAAATTAGCTAATCTTACAAACGGGAGAAGAGCCCTCTATTTATAGTGGGATGAATTGAGGTAATGATTACTAAATCAGGGAGTGGGTCAGATTGCCATCCAAATCCTTCCTTGCGCCCCGTTATTCACCTGCTCGATTGATTTCCTCGACTCGCGTAGAGATTTAGACACGTGGAAATCCTCCAACCTTTCACCAGCCTGGCGCACACCTATTGCACTGGCAGGAGCATGCCTCTTGCATCAGCGTGCGACATGGCTGCATCTGAATGACTGTTAGACTTACCTAAGCTTTGACCACTTACGCTGACAGGGCTCTGCGTCAGCCCTACTTTTCCAGGCATAACACTATCATTTTCAGGTTCTTCTTCTCCCTTTTCCATTCTGATAGACCTCCCATTAAGAAGGTGTATCAATATAAAGGGCATAAGGGTAAAAGGGTGTGAGTGTGCATGTGTGTTAGTGGTAACTTTCATTGTTTGCGTCTTTGCAACATTTCAAACTGCCATACTTGCTCTAATTCTAGAGAGAAACCCAAATTCTTGGACTCTAAGGGCAGACATGGAGTTGATAGCTATTTTGTATTCGGTAAGTATATACAGAGAGGAGCTTATGTACATTTCTTGTAATTGTAGCATTGTCTCTTATTATCCAAGATCTTCTCAATATTGTAATAACTTGATCTGCTGTTTAATATCTAGGCAGTTTTTGAAGTAGCACTTCGAAATCTTGTGCACGCGTGGGCATGTCATAAGAAGGGACCTGTCTATGTTTCCATGTTTAAGCCAGTTGGAATAATCATTGCAGTTGTAATGGCGGTTACTCTTCTTGGGGATACTCTTTATCCTGGAAGGTATAATTGTATACTTGATATTTCTCAGATGGGTGTTCTTTGCATTAACAACAATCAACTCTGCTTTTGGATAGGAATCCTTAGGCTAAACTATATGGACTGAAACTCCACCTTTAGCAATAAATTCTATTTGATCATCAAAATGCTTCTTACTGGTTTAACAAGAAATAAGAAAACTTGAACCAAGAGCTACTAGGTATAAAGAAAAGAAATGAAATATGAAACATAAAGGTGAATCAGTTGCTTTCTAGTAACTACGCTATATTTGAATTTTGTTTTGACGGGAAGGAGTAAGTAACCGTAAGATTGTTGGATTTTTATTTCTGTGCAGTATTATTGGAGCTTCCATAATTGCTTTTGGATTTTATTCTGTGCTTTGGGGCCAAGCCCAAGAGGAAAAGATGGTTGATGACAAAGGAATCAATAGCTCGAAGTCATCATCTCCTAACACCCCTCTCGTGGAAAACAGAAGCATGGAGATATAATAATTTTGCACAGAAGCGAACATAATGCTAAAGCGTAATCAAAGTAATTATTTAGCTGCAAAACAATTTATGGGTTAATGGTCAAGAAAGTAAGTGTACCTGTAATTGTAAACTTAAGAGTTGGAAAATTAGTTTTACTTTCTTCTCTTTTCTTCATTATGATAGCTAATCTATAACTGGATAACATCATTCTGCATATCAAGAATTATATTGTGCTAGTATGAGAAGTTGAAAGGAAATAATACACTAACAAAATATTTCCTACTTGAATGAATCAAGGAGAAACAAAACCTTGAGCAAATATGTCTGAAAACAATAATTAATCCACAAGAGACACAAGCAATTTTACGTAGAAAAACCTTTTCGATGTGAAGAGATTAAAAAACCATAAGATCGAATGATCCACTTAAATCCACTATAATAAAGAAGTGTTTACAACAACCACAAATTACTAATAATATTCCACAAAAAATTTAGAGATTTATCACAATTCTAACAAAGTGAAATATACAAAAGAGTTACGAAAAGATAAGAGTAAAATCAACCGTAAAGCACCCGAAATGCAGCCTTTATAACTCCAAACTCAGCCATCAAAAATGAAAACCAACCGTCCAGATTGAAGAGTCAAACGTCTTCTGCGTTTTGACAAAAAATCAGGTAAATCAAACTAGTAATGACCTTCCGATCGTCAGGTTGAAGAAGGACAAACGGACTGAAAATTCTGCAACTCAACCTTTGATTTGACTGTCTTTCTAAAGGCAAAACTTTACAAAAAATATGGTTATCACAAAACTGACCGTTGGATGTGAAAATGTTGCCGTCAACAACAACGCTCTGATATTTGAGCCAAAACGAAGCAAGATTCACCGTTGGATCGTCATTAGAATAAGCTAGTGTGACTGCGTCTCTCTCACTTCTACCTATTTTTAATCGGTGAACAGTATCCACGTTTTCTAGACTGTTCACCCACTCAAAAATCAACTAAAACAAGCTGTACCTTTTTTTTTTTTTTTTTTTTTTTTTTTTTTTTTTTTTTTTTTTTTTTTTTTTTTTTGGTACTTAGGATTTTGGGTTATCCTCTATACGAGGAAACCCAAGCCCAACAAAGGTTTGCCTGTTCCATTGCCTCCTTTGTACCAGAATAATACTAAATCCCTAATGCAATGATGAATTTTCAGTTTCTGGGTACCACAGTGTTATTGCCTATTTGGTACTGCAAGACAATTCATGTATATGCTAAGTATTTATTACATTTAATAACCACCAATCACAACTGATTTAAAGATAAAGCTAAGAGAAATTTCAGAGATGAAAATTCACTAGAGGGTGGTATACTGTTGTATTCTAGAAATTTTCGTCTCTGGGTTGTTGTGCTCAATAATGCATGTATATATTGATTATGACCTTAGATATCTAAAAGGTTAAGTGTCTTTGTTTTGCAAGTTGTCTAATCAAAAGCTGCTAAATGTGCGGTTGTAATTTAAAAACATACATTTACAAGCTATTAAAATGACAGAGGCATTTGATAAAGTGTTCTGCATAGTGCATATCGTGACTGGCCCAATAAGGTTGACCTCTGCATTACCTCCATTTGTAACAGAAAATGAACTCTCAATCTCAATATTTAAGTTTTGGAAGTACTTTTTTCATTCTTAAGAAAATTCGAAATGGTCAAATAAACAAAGTACATACCCTACTTCAAGAGATAACGAAAGTTCTCCAAAATAGGGAAAAAAAATAATAATTATGTAGCAAATTGTCTTCATCTTACCGACATTAATTGTGAATTATCAGCAAACCATTTTAAGCATCCATGTCTATAAGGTATGGCACAAACTTTCCCATAGATCTCTGGGATTGAAACACTTCCCCGATTGCGGAGTGCTTTGTTGTTGGCACAAGAGCATCACATACCACTCGCTCGTCCCTCACAAAGAGCAATAAATGTGGAGTCCAAGTGTAACAGAAGTTATGGTGATGTTAGAGTTCTTGGATGTAGGTTTAAACACCCTCACTAAGGCAGCCATGAGCGGTGGCATGAGTCACTTTGTCCTTGTTGTCTACTCTAATATCCTTGCCAGCTTCTTCCTTGTTCCTTGTTCCTTCATCTTCTATAGGCAAGTACTTATCTTCTTCAACTCAATTCTAGCTCAACATACAACATCTTATAGTTTCTTTACCTTTCTTCTCATTTAGCAGACAAAGAAGTCGTCCCCAGCTCACGTGGTCCATAGTATATAGAATCTTCATCCTTGGTCTGCTCAGGTACAGGTTTCTTAATTAACACAGGGATGTTAACAATCATAATATTGTAATCTCATTACAGGAACATGCGTATTTGTGTGTTAATTTATGAGTATTGTTCTTGTAGTTGCTGCGGGCAGATGTTTCACTATATTGGGATAGAGTATAGCTCTCCAACTCTGGCATCGGCTATGATCGATTTAACTCCAGGCTTTACCTTCATACTTGCCATAATCTCCAGGTGCTCTCTCCTTTCTCTATTCAAATCTCTCCTGTCAGGGAAGGTCAAATTTGAGTTCTCAAATTTACTAATAAATTTACCAAAACATACAATTTATTCCTGCATGAAGCTGATAAAATTCTATAATATGTAAATCACTATCTTAAACAAACACTAATTATGCTGATTCTTAAGGATGATGCATACATAACATGCATTCATCAATTCACCTGCCCAGTATGGAAGACTTTTCTAATAAAAGACAAGTTGGGTACGTTTAATCAATGTCAAGTTGATTATCAAAATTTAAAATTGGTTGGTAAACTTTCCCTTTCAATCACCAAGATATGGGTCAATTAACATTAGCACTACACGTTAATGTCCATCATATACTCAAAACATGTCAAAACAAAGGGTTGAAACTTCGTAAAATATCAGTAAAAGAGACATGGACAAATTCTAACACAGTGGTGAAATGAAAATGGACACTACAACCAAATAATTCTGTGTCAGATGAGAAACACCTTGTCCTGGCCGAAGGAAACCTCCAGGGGCTCCACCAAATAGGCTTTCCAGATTTTCCTTGATGAACAGAATGCCATTTTCCAATTAGATAGGACAAACTACTACCTTAGCTTCTTTCGGGCAAATGTCCAATAGATAAATTATTTTCCATTCAATGTGTATAACATTTTAATAATGGATCTATATTATGAATTAAAACTTCCAATATTTTTAATAATTAATTATTAACTGGACTAATATCAAATATTGGAAGTTTTCAGGATGGAAAACCTGGACTTAAGAGTTCAAAGCAGTCAAGCCAAGTCCATTGGAACTTTGGTTTTGATGATTGTGACTCTATACAAAGGTTTGCCCATTAAAGTTGCTCCATCAAGTAATAAGTTACTTAAGGAATTTATGCTATCATCTCAATCAAATTGGGTTCTAGGAGGCTTTTTTCTCGCACTTCACAGTGTTATTCTGGCATCGTACTACATTGTCCAGGTACACCTATTTAAAATATTCAAAGTTCAAGCACCAGTCCAAGGGAATTAACCAAATATGTTGTTTTACTTTCCAAATATTCAGACATGGATTATTAGGGACTACCCCGCCGAGCTGATGGTAACACTCATTTGCTGCATCTTTGTAAGCATTCTGTCTGCCATAGTCTCCCTGGTAGCAGAGAAAGATGCAAATGCTTGGAGACTGAAGCCTAATATCAATTTGATGGCAATTGGGTATTCGGTAAGCGTGGAGAAGAACCTTTGCTTAATTGTAGCTAGGATTTGTGCTTCTGTTCCGCGTTTAAAACGGTTTGTTAAATATTGAACTTACTGGATGCTGCTACTTAATCTCTAGGCAGCTTTTGCGTTATCACTTCGATCCGTGCTTCATACATGGGCATTAAAGAAGAAGGGACCAGTCTATGTTTCCATGTTTAAGCCACTTGGAATGGTCATTGCAATTGTGTCTGGAGTTGCATTCCTGGGGGATACCATTTATCTTGGAAGGTATAATTTATTTAATTCTCAATGCATATTTATGTAGTAATTCTTTAAAGAGTGTTAAATATGACAAGAAAAGAATATGGTTGTATTATTTGAATGGTTTTGCAGTTTGGTTGGAGCAGCTACAATAGCTCTTGGCTTTTATGCTGTGATTTGGGGCCAAGCACAAGAGAAGCTTATGGTGGATGACAATGAAATTTGAAGCTTTAAGTCATCCTCTCAAAAAGTTCCTCTCCTGCAAAATAAAGCATGCAAATATAGAACTTTTGCGTGAAGAAGGGGAGATTTGTTGAAGGCAATATTCACATTTGTGATTAATATATTATGAGAAAATGTAAACACAGAATTTAGAAGAAGCAGAGAGTTCTGATCTGAAGTTGCTTCTCTGCAAACATATCCCTCATGAAATGTTACATCTAATTCAATGTGTTTTGTCTTCCCATGTAACCTTTGTATTTATATTTTCACTCCACATCTTATAGCTTCTTAATTATATACTCTTCATCTATATCTCACAATATCAACCTTTTACTTTTTATATAGAACTTAAAAAAAAAAAAAAAAAAAAAAAAAGCAAAGGGATACAACATGGGTTCCTGAATTTGAGTTCCCCCAAGGGTTACCTGATCATTCACTTTAGGGTTCTGAGGGATTAGTTGAGGTGCACATAAACTAACTCAAACATCCTCGATCACCAAAAAAAAAAAAAAAAAGAATTTTTTTAGGAACTTGGTAAGAATAGCATACTATTGATATTAAGCAAATAATTAGTTTGTTTTCAAAGAAGTGTAGATTAATAGAAAATTGAAGAAAATTCGAAAAACCAAAGATTTTAACACTTACTTGTTTTTCATAAAACTATTTTTCTCTTGTATGAGGAAAAAAAAGAACTAGAACTAGAATTAGGGTGCTTAATACCAAGGTTAACATGTGGAAAGTAATATAGAAAGAATTTATACCCTCTTTAGTAATTTTCATAAAAGGATAATATTTTAATTAAGTAAAAGAAAGAATTCAAAGAAACAATGGTCGACTCATATAAAATATGGAGGGCCAATGGCATCACTCTAAACTCTAAAGTGAAAGTATTACAAAATTTGGATTTTCTCTTAGAGAATCAACATGGGGTTTTTAATTAAAAAAACTAAATTTTTCAGGTCTATAGTAATTAAGCAAAATTTCAAACACCAATGTAACCAACTTCTTAGTTAAATATCATTTTCAAACTTACATTTGCAATCTCTCACACAAAAAACAGAATATCAAGCAAGTAAAACCACTACATTCAAGTAAGAAGATTGATCTTTAACTTAAAATCATTATATCCTTGCAATTTTTCACTTTTTATGTTAATTTAAAATGATTGTCTCTTGTTATTCACCCTTTCCCGGTTGGCATAATTTAATATGCCAATGGATAAAATATTTCACACTAATAGCATTTATGCTAACAAAGAAAGGCAAATTTTACACTTTAAATCAGTTAGCGTATTTTTAAACCAGTTCGTATAAAAAATTACGTCAACTGTGAAACTTTACAAGAAATTCCCCAATTGGCATATTTTTAAACCAATAGACATAAACAATTATGTCAACTCCCAATTGGTGTATTTTCCCACGTCACAATTCAAATTTGAATACAAACAAACACCAATACGCTTCTATTCGCATCAAACACAATAACATCCACACCACCAACACTCACAACATTCATAAAAACAACTTCCATAACAATAATCACATTAACCCGAAAACCTTAGAAATTTAAAATCTAAAAACCCTAACTTAAACATAGAAATCTTACAAAAACTCAAAAATCTAACAACTTCCTTCAAAGTGTCGCAGTTAACTTCGTTACCACCATCGACCAAAAATCAATCAAAATGCAATCAAAATACTCAATGTAATCAAATTTATACCATGATTAATGTAATAAGAGAGAAAAAATTCAAAAATAAAAATCGGCTTCTAGCCGTTTTTCTTTTTTTAAAATTGTAGAAGACTGGAGAAAATTTTGCTTATATATGAGGATAATTTCGGGAAAATGGCATTAGGTGATTATATGGGTATAGGGTTTGAAATTTTGGTTAACTATAGGCCCCTAGAATTTTGGTTAATAACTTAAAAACCCATCAACCTGCGCTTAAGGAGAAATAGATCCACCAAGCCATATTACTCGAAGTTGACGAGAAAGGCTTAGGTCCAAGATAGGTTGTGGTTGGGCCTTTTTGAAATAGATAACAAGTCCATTTATTTATCCCTCACCAAACACCAGCCGAAGCCGCCACAAACTGCTGGGCATCGTTTTTGGGCTCACTGCCTCACTGTCGGGTATATTAAAGGAAGAAAAGCCAGGACTTGTTCCATTTCCATATGGTTTAAAACAAAATATGAATTAAATTCAAATAATCACATCTTCCATTATAAGAAAAAAAGAATTTATACACTTTCTCACCTGCAACAACTATCCAACTCACTTATTTCCTTAGTTTTACGTATACAATTGGGTACAAATATGTTGATGCTTGATTTTGTACATCAACGACTGGCACGTGCAAAGTGTTAAGAGAGTCTTAGAAATTACACGTGATCGATCATGAGATTTGAATATGGTAATGAGATTATATATGTTGCAGAAACATAAATAATAGATTGACAAAAAAGGTTTTTATAGTGGTTCAGACGCTTAAAGCAAATCCTATATCCACTGTTATTTTATTATTCTCTGACTATTTTTATGATATTGCCCATAAGGCATACAAAGATGAAGAAATACCTTGCTTTACATAGAGAAATAATGAAACTCAAATCTATGTCTAGCTCTCATATGCCCAACCTCCTCTTTTTGTGAAGAGATGTGCTCATTTATACACCTTTTAGGTCAATGTAATGAGTGCTTCTACAAGTTGTCATTACACGTGGGGACCACTCCTTAATCCTTATCTTTTTATTTTGATAAAGTTGAGACAAGTGTGCAATCCTCATCCACTCATAGACAAAACTTGAATCTACTGGGTTAGTGACAGCCGTATCTTTTCTGTCTTGGGGCGATGTTGCAGCTCCTGGACGGCACAAAACTTTCCTGAACTCTGATTGGTTGGTGCTGACATTAGTGCGATTTTTTAGGCACAACAGAAACCCCCCAGTTTTTGGAGTGCGTAATTGATTCAAAAACTCATGTCTTAGATCTGAATGGCTGTCGCGCTATAGGTTGTAGTCTCGAACTGAAGAGCCCGAACTATGCTTGGCGCGATCTGGTACTGAGAGCTAGGATTGTGATCTAAGAGCTTGGAGCGATCCAAAGCTGAACGCGATCTGATAACTGACATGAAATGTCCAGTAGATGAATTGCTAGAGGGAGCTAATGTCAGAAACCCAAACGCACAGCTTAGAGGCCTTAAATGGATAAGCCAAATTAAAATAACCATAACTTTTGATCTAGGAGGAGTTTTGGAGCCCGTAAGATATCCACGGAAAGCTTGTTCTGAGCTCTACGTCATGGCAACTGGAGAACCTGATTGGGGCCATTTTCCTAGCCAAAATCCACCATTTCTGCATGTTTCGGGGCTATTTTGAGTTTTCTACGCGTTTTTTCTAACGTTGGCAACTAGTCGCGATCTGAGAACTAAGAATTGATCGCGATCTGAGAGTTGAGAACATGACCTGAGGCTGTTTGCAATATCAAAGCTAAGAGCTGATCGCGATTTGAGAGCTAGGAGCTGATCGTGATCTGATAGGAGCTCGACCTAAGAGTCTGAGGCATGAGATCTGAACGATCTAATGCACACAATCTCAAGTAAACGAGCGAGCTTGTGAGCTCAATCAGAGAACATAAGGAGCTCAATCAGAGAACATAAAGAGCTCGATCAGAAAGCGCGAAAGGAATTCGATCGGAAAGTGCGAAGCTTGATCTGAGAACACAAGAAGTTCGATCAAAAAACGCAAAGCTTGATCTAAGAACTCGAGATCAATGATCTGAGCGTGCGATTAGCGATCTGACCACACGATCTGAAGCTAAAGATCAGCAATCTAAAGCTGAAGATCAAGATGATCTGAACGTGCGATCAGCGATCTGGCCACGCGATTAGAGAGCTAAAGATCAGCGATCTGAAGCTGAATATCAAGACAATCTGACCGTGCGATCAACGATCTGGCCATGCAATCAAAGAGCTAAAATCAACTATCTGAAGCTGAAGATTAAGAGGATCTGAACGTGAGATCAGCGATCTAGCCACGCGATCTAAAGCTGAAGATTAAGAGGATTTGAACGTGCGATCAGCAATCTGGCCACGCGATCGAAGAGCTAAAGATCAGCGATCTAAAGCTGAAGATCAAGAGGATCTAAACGTGCGATCAGCAATCTGGCCACGTGATCTGAAGCTGAAGATCAAGATGATCTAAGCGTGCAATCAGCGATCTGAAGCTGAAGATCAAGATGATCTAAGCGTGCAATCAGCGATCTGGCCACATGATCTGAAAGCTAAAGATTAGTGATCTGAAGCTAAAGATCAAGACGATCTGAGCGTGCGATTAGTGATCTGCCCACGCGATTGGAGAGCTAAAGATCAGCGATCTAAAGTTGAAGATCAGCGATCTGAGCCACGCGTTCTAAAGCTAAAGATCAGCGATCTGAAGCTGAAAATTAAGACGATCTGAGCGTGCGATCAGTGATCTGACCACGCAATCGGAGAGCTAAAGATTAGCAATCTGAAGCCACACGATCTGAAGCTGAAGATCAAGACGATCTGAGCGTGCTATCAGTCATCTGGTTATACGATCGGAGAACTTTGATGCAGGTTTGAGACCTGCATGGGCCACCAAACTGTTGATGCTTGATTTTGGACACCAACGACTTGCACTTGCAAAGTGTTAAGAGAGTCTTAGAAATTACACGTGATCAATATATGAGATTTGAACATGATACTGAGATTACATATGTTGCAGAAACATAAATAATAGACTGACAATAGAGGTTTTTATAGTGGTTCGAATGCTTAAAGCAAATCCTACATCCAATGTTATTTTATTATTCTCTGACTATTTTTATGATATTACCCGTAAGACATACAAAGATGAAGAAATACTTTGCTTTACAAAGAGAAATAATAAAGCTCAAATCTATGTCTAGCTCTCATATGTCCAACCTCCTCTTTTTGTGAAGAAAGGTGCTCATTTATATACCTTTTAGGTCAATGTAATGAGTGCTTCTACAAGTTGTCATGGCATGTGGGGACCACTCCTTAATCCTTATCTTTTTATTTTGATAAAGTTGGGACAAGTGTGTGGTCCTCATCCACTCATAGACAAAACTTGAATCTACTAGGTTGGTGACAATCGTAACTCTTCTGTCTTAGGGTGATGTGGCAGCTCCTAGACGACCCAAAGCCTTCCTAAATTCTGATTGTTGGTGTTGACATCAGTGCGATTTCTTAGACACAACAAAATAGATCCAAACTAAGTCCG